AATTCCCAACTTGTACTCTGCTTCAATCACAGATTAAATTAATCTGTCTCTTTTCTCACAGGCTATGTTCACCATGCTAAGAATTGTGCAGAAGGCAAACACTAATATATGGGCTGGACAAGAGCTATTAAAAGCTTTAAACTGATGAATCTACATGTAAGATTTTTTTCTTTAATTTGATATTGCAACGCTTATTTTGTTTCTCTAGTCACACCACAGTTTCTGATGACCAGATAGTGATTTCATGAACTGTATTTTTACAGAGATTTGAATTCTGGAAGGTAGTGTCTCTGTAATTTGAATACTTTTTTACACTTCAATAATTTATGTTCCGTCAGTCTCTCAGAGCTGATTTTCCTTTTCATAGTGTCCTGGTTTCAGCAGTAGCAGTCATTTTTTCTCCTTAGTAGCTGGTGCAGCCCTGTGTTTTTGACTTTCGGCCAGGGAACAGTGCTGATAACACCGATGTTCTTAGTTACTGCTCAAATGTTTAGTCTGACCAAAGACTTTCTGAATCTCATGTGTGGATTGGCTAAGGAACCGTGGACACTTCGTGACCAACCCAGACATCTTAGCCTTAGGAGATGGTGGCTATAAAGAATACAGTTGAACACTGGCCATGTGAGCCATCCCAGCTGTTTGGTCTTAGCCAAACTGAGTTAAGCTGTAAGGCCTGAACTCAAGTTACCCAGGCTGCAAGGCCTAACCTTAGGTTACTAAAGGACAGCTATGTGCAGTAGAACAAGGAACTTGGCATTTGCTCAAGGTTAACAAGATGTAGAAGTGGGATGGGAAAACTGTAAGATGTGTGCAAAAAGTAACAAATGGACAAGCTTTCAGCTAATCTATTATCTACTTTGAAAATGTGTGGACAGCACTTTAGAGCCAATCTGAATCTATACTGGTTACATCAACTAGTCCTATAAACTATAAAAGCTGTGATGTGTGGGAATAAATTTGGCAGTAGCTTGATCACACTGATTGTCTCTGTGTTGTCCGTAACTCCTGTGTCACTCATGCTCAGCCGGGGAGGAGGAGAAGCTGGGAGGAAGCAGAAACAGGACATCTTATCTAAACTAGCCAAAGAGGTATTCCATACCACAGCATGTCATGCCCAGGATGTAAACGGAGAGTTACCCAGAAGGTCTAGTTCACTGCTTGGGCAGGCTGGGTGTCAGTCGGTGGGTGGTGAGGTGTTGTATTCTCTTCCCTTGTTATTTCCCTTCTCATTATTATTATTGGTGGTAGCAGTTGTATGGATTTAGTTAGCATGAGTCGGGCTTCTCAGTTAGCATAAGTAGAGCTTCTCTGTAAGTGGAAAAATACTAGGCCAGAGGGGAGGTTAGCCAGGGATAGCAGTGGGGGAAATGAAATTGCGACATTAGCGACGTTAAGAACAAAAAACAGGATGTAAAACTGCAGTGTAAGAATGTTGAGGTTAGTGCTAAACATAAATAGCTGTAACTTGTATTAAGCAACTTTGTGTAAAGCCCAATCAGAAGCTCGTTGGCAAGGCATGTTAACCAATCAGCGTATAATCAATGTGTGGTTTTGTGTATAAAAGATCATGTCTGATGCTCAATAAACGGCAATTGCTTGATCACATTGATCGTCTCTGCGTTGTCCACGACTCCCACGTCAACAAGCAGTAATGATTTGTGTTATACATTAGTTATTGGACTGTTCTTATCTAAACCCATGGGAGTCACATTCTTTCGATTCTCCTCCCCATCCCTCCGGGAGCAGGGTTGGGGGGAGGAAGTGGGGGTAGTGAGCAAGCAGGCTGTGTGGGTCTGAGTTAATGACTGAACTTAAACCATGACACATAGTTCCCTTTTCACTATTTAATGGGATACAATATTTTGAACAGTTGGGGAATGCTTTAATTGATTTTTAGTGCTTAGAAAGGTTGGACATCAGGCCTGGAAGGTATAGATCTGTGTTCATATTGTGTTAGACATATTGGCTGTTACTTATTGAATATGCTTTTCTTCTTTAATATGATGTTATAAGACTTCAGTTTATAACACATTAACACAGTAAAATCTCAAAAAAAAATCACAATGTGTACTCAGCTCTACATCAGCCTAGAATATTGTTGCAAAACACACTTAGATACAAAATGAAACTCTTGCTCGCAACTTTGACAAAAGCCCTTTGCCAAAAAAGCTTAGTACAGCAGACAGACTGAAGTATGACAAACTTAAATTCATTCCTCTTGTAAATAATTATAAAGCCCTAAGATGAATCAAGGATTCCTTGTAAATAAAATCCCAAAGTCTGAGTAGGAAAAAAAACGTCACTTTTCTGGGCAAAATATGCTAAACATATATTTGTGTAAACGTATATAAATGGTATCATACACGATCCTTTCATAGGAGGCAGACATGAAAGAAAACAATACTGCAATAAAAAAAAATACACAGCTAATGACAACATAACACATTTGGACAAATATTAGCCCTTAATGAATATTATAACAATACTGCAATAAAAAAAAATACAGAGCTAATGACAACATAACACATTTGGACAAATATTAGCCCTTAATGAATATTATTGATGAAACTTGTTGGAAAAAATACAGCTTTCTTTTTTCTTATATGCGTTTATTTTCTATGGACAAAGTTTGAATTGTTTCATGACTATTTTAACAAGATAAATCAATGATTTGTTTGTATATTCAGTTTAGGTAAGCAAACTGTTGCTAGTTAGCAGTGAGTTCAGTACTAATTAATTAACCAGCATGTAAAATGTTATAGTTTCACCTTCAGATTAAAGGACCACAAGACACACAGACAGGGAGGCAGAAAGCAGGAAAGCAAGAAAACTATAAAGCAAGCAATCAAAAAAAAGAAGAAAGGAAAAGAGAGGAGAAGGGAGGGGAGGAGCGGGGAGGGGAAGGGAGGGAAAGAGAGAGGAAGGGAGGGGAGGGAAGGGGAGGGGAGGGGAGGGGAGGGGAGGGGAGGGAAGGGAAGGGAAGGGAAGGGAAGGGAAGGGAAGGGAAGGGAAGGGACGGGAAGGGAAGGGAAGGGAAGGGAAGGGAAGGGAAGGGAAGGGAAGGGAAGGGAAGGGAAGGGAAGGGAAGGGAAGGGAAGGGAAGGGAAGGGAAGGGAAGGGAAGGGAAGGGAAGGGAAGGGAAGGGAAGGGAAAGGGAAAGGGAAAGGGAAGTGAAGAGGGAAAAGAAATGAAGGAAGAAAGGAAGGGAGGAAGGAAAGAAGGAAGGAAGGAAGGGGCATCATGCAAGTCAATAATTTCTTCTTTGCAGTACCCATAATTTTTTGTCACTACTCTACCTCAGTAAAGAATACTGATACACATTTAGCAGAAGCATACTATATGTAAAATATTATAATATACATCAACTCTCTTATACTAAGTGAATGTTCAGTTAATTCACTATCAGCATCTGGAATGAAAGTATATTAAAGATCTACATCTTCACTGCATTTTAGTCTATCACATTTGAATAACCCTACTGAAGTCTGAAGACTACTCCTTAGATCTCTAGAGGCTAATTTACAATTTAGTGATTTAGTGATATTCAGCATACAGTTGCTGGAATCCTGGTGTGTTAGCACTGCTCATCTTTTCTGACCATGTTTTAGAAGGAAAGAGATGTCCACAGCTGGGGTGATGAGTTGGGTACTGGAAAAGAGATGGAAAGTCTGAACAGTGAGGGTTATTTTTCCAACAGTACCTAACTTCAGTCCCACAGGAGGCAGCTACCTCTGCTGTGCTGAGATAGAGAAAGTGAAGAATGCAGTGATGGATAGGGACACTGTCAGGAATATACTACTGCAAAATAACCTCTTTTTTATTTTTTCTCACTTTTTTTCTCTTTTTTTTTTTTTAATAGCGTTACCTATATCTCTCAGTATAACTGCATCTAGTATCTAGATCTGAATGATATTCTGTGAATAAAGTATGAGATATACAAGGTAAATATTAATCTTTGATCATATGAACAGTTCCTGTGTCTTGATGTAAATGCTAGAAAGTAACTTTTATTGCTTGCCTTGATAAAGTGGTAATATAGTACAAACATTTCATAATCTGCTGAGCTCCCAAAAATCAACCTGAAATTAACTTACGTTCAAGTTGATAAATCTCATTATACCATTATAGCTTGAAGGTGATTTAACAGGTATTTTGCAGTGTGTAATTTATAACATATTAGAAGGAGATAAGAAAACAAATGTTGCAAACCAATAATTACTGTCACATTCATTTATAAATTCTGCTATATGTTAAAGCTTTGAATAGAGTTTTGAATAAAGCTTTTAGATACAATTTATGAATAATAATAGTTCTAGTGCGTAAACTCTGAAATCACTTTAGTTAGGTATAACTCCAATACACCTTATCCTTTCGCAGTTTATATAGCCAGTCTTCCCTAAGACTGAAAACAGGTTACTGGTCTAAAGTCAGTATAACAACAGTACCTGAACTTACAAGAAGGGTTGCATGTTTAGTTTCCTGTTGGCTTTTACTGTCTCTGATAATCTTAAGCAAAGGAAGTACATGTGTGGGAAAACATTCAGACTATTTTCTGGAATCATCCATATTGGAGAATATAGATGATAATTTTCTCCAATTACTATATCTGGTCTCCTTTAATTACAAAATAAACTGAATACTATATGGTGGAGTAATATATACACATGGTTATAACTGGATTCATGAAATTTAAGAAGCATTAGTGCTAGTGCAGAAGTGATGCATGATTCTTCATTTAGTGGTATCCTGGTCTCAGCTGGAAGAAAGTTAATTTTCTTACTTGTAGCTGGTGCAGTGCTGTGTTTTGCCTTTAGTCTGAGAAAAATGCTGGTAAGACAGCAATGTTTTAGTTGCTGCTAAGTAATGCTTGCCCTATCAAGGACTTTTCAGTTTCTCATGCTTTGTTAGTGAGGAGGGGCACAAGAACGCTGGAGGAAGCAGAGACAGGACACCTGATCCAAACTAGACAAAGGGGTATCCCATACAACAGCACATCATGCCCAGTGTATAAACTGGGGAGAGTTACCAGAAAGAGAAGGATTGCTGCTGGGTCAGCTGGTGGTAAGCAATTGTATTACACATCACTTGCATTTTCTGAATTTTCTTTTGTTTTGGTTGTTGTTGCTGATCCCTATTATTGGTATTCCTTCAATTATCACTATATTTTACTTTATTTTATTTATTGGATTATTCTTATCTCAACCCGTGGGGTTTACATTCTTCTAATTCTCCTCCCCATCCTGCCTGGGAAGTGGAAGTGGAGTACAAGCAAGTGACTGCGTGATACTTAGTGTCTGGATGGGTTTAAACCACAAGTGTAAAGGAGGTCATCCAGTGCCTACTGTTACATCATGGTTAACCAGAAAGTACAGTATTACCATTGTTAGTAACAAGCCACAGTTTTAAATTTTGCTAACTTTGCTATATGCTAAATGATGTGATGCTTTAACCTTGGTCAGTCAACTTGCTAGAAAAATGGCTGTGTGACCTACAATTTGGTATCTGGCATCTCTTGTTATGATACACAGTTGAGGTGTGATATTATAATGCAAGTTCTTGAAAATATGGGCACAGGTTGGATAAAACCCTCACTAATTGACAGTTGCTGGTCTCTGAAAAAGAGACCAGCCTTTAGAGCTAATTCTGGTTCAAAAATTACAGAGAAAATGAGTAGTAGTCAAGTGAGAAAAAAATAACAGAGCAACAGCATAAGGCATCTGCCAGTCTATTTTTATATTTAAAATTTAGGCTAGAGAATACATGGATTACTCATGATGATGAGATCCTCTGGAACTATTAAATTGCACATTGCTTAGAACAATGAACATCAGATTCAGGCATTGTCCAGCACTTTTCTCCTATCATATTTAAATAAGACATATGTGTTCTGTGTTGTATTTTAATAAGGTAAAGTCATCATGATAAAATATTCACTTTCTGTCTTTGTAATATGTATGATAAATTAGATAAATATAAGGGAAACAGTGGCTATCTTTCAAGTGACTTCCATGTGCACTGCTGAAACTCAATGGAAAATTTATGGAACTAGCATTCACTTTAATTAAGTGCCACAAATTGCATTTCTTGCTTTACTATGATTTCCTAGCTTTTTTTTTTTGTTTTGTTTAATTTATATCTTCTTCTGTTAGAGGTCGAGAATATTATCATTAATATTAAAATAAATAAATCCAAATACAACAGAAGAATGTTTGAAATATCCCCCTTCATTAAAACCAGCTTCATATCTGAAAACACTATAGATAAGACAATGGGAAGAAAAAAGCCTCATAACTTCAGCCAGCTTGTAAAGCTAGACATATCACAGCTATAACTGATTTAAAATGATGAGAAAATTAGTTCATGTGATGTTTATTAAGTGGAAAATATATATAAACCTATTTTTTCCCCATTGTTATAATTTTAGAGACTACATGACCTAAATTATTACTGAGTATATAAACATACATCTGTATTTCTAAAGTGAGAAATAAAGCTCTTTGGACCTATAGGAGGTTTGATGAAGGATAAATTGAATTAATATATAATAAGGTTGTTTGACCTTTCTTTATTTTAAATTTATTTTGGCTGGAAAAATAAACATTAAGCCTCCTTTAGTTTCTTACTATCAAATGTACTTTACAGTGGCACAGAATCTTGTGGCTGGTTTCTCTTCCCATTATTACCCAAGCATTTAGAGGAATACAAAGTCAGTTTTTTCACTGCAAAAGGTCATAAATGAAATGGAATTCAGCAATGCTGACAAAAAAAACATTTTGCAGATCTATCTGAGGCCATTTAAGGGCTGTTTGCTTTTAGATGAAGGATTACCTATTAAATCTGAAAGACATTGCAAGCTGAATAAACACCACCTTGTAAGGTCAGTGTTCCTTATCACTATGCAATAGAAGGAACAAGAGCGTTCTAGGTAGACTGGCAATGCATCATAGATCTAAATCATACCGAAAACATTCGAAGGCACTGAGGTGATATGATACTAACAGAAATGGCATTATTCAACAGCTTTTTTCAGCAAGGATACAGTAAAAAAAAAAGAAAAAAAAAGTATTCTTAAGTCTTTTCTGAAAAAAAAATAATAAAATAAAGGCAACCTTCATTCTCCTAGACAGGGGACAAAAAGGTAATATGTGACAAATATAGTCAAAGCAAATCACTGGGTGACGCGGTATAGTGATGGACTTGGCCATCCTGAGGTAAAGGTTGGATGTGATGATCTTAAAGGTCTTTTCCAACCTATTTGATTCTACAATTCTGTGATTCTATGACTGTAGAAGACTAGTTCATATGATCCTCCCAAGTCACTTCAGTGGAGTAAGATTTAAAAAAGCATCAACAGATCTTGTGTCATAAAGAATTTTTAAAGCCATGTCCCTATGTTATACATGTGGGGGAAAATTAAAATCTGGAATGAAGGATGAAGATATGGGTTTGCAAGTTAATATTAAATAAATATATTTTTATAATCCTGATCAAGAAGGAATTATTGAAAAGTGGCACGGTTTTAACTTATCTAAATAAGAGCTGGAAATTGTAACCTGCAATATGTTTACATTAGTTTTAGGAAGTGTGTCACCATCACATTTCTAAATTAAGTCTGAGTTTCTTTTAAATGATGTTTGAGTTTTTGTACATCTGTTGATTAAGAGTCAGAAATACTATCCTACCTTCTTTATTAGACTGTGGCATAGAGGTGCAACACTGTGAGTATACTTGAGCTATCAAGATTTGTGCAATTCAACAGCACTTCATGTGAGGAAATAATATACATGCCATTCTGATTCATAATGATATATGATTTATAATGATGATTTTATTTTTTAGAGAGAACAAAATCCAGTGCATGATTACAAGTAACTTGAATCAATATATTCTGATCTCTGTCTGGTTTGTGACTTCAGAAGAAAATTCTGAGTAGCATTATGGATAGGAAGTATTAATTCTCATTTCACTGATTTATTGCCACTGAAATGAGAGTCATTCTTCTCCTATAGCAGACCTTCAACCCCTGGTGTACTATACTGTGGAAGAAATTTATACATACGTACCAGCCTATATTACTGCTATTCTGGTCAGTGCTATAAATAATACATGATAGCAATGATAAATATTTGAACTGAACTACAGATAATTTGCATACTCTTAACCTGAGCTTCTAAGGAGCTTTTGTAAGTCAAATCTTTGTGGGTGTTGAGGGGGCAAAAGTATCCAACTGATAAAGTCAGCAAGAAATAAGGTTTTTCATAATATAACACTTTCTTAAGAAAAATGTATGATTAATTAACCTTCACAAATAGATCAATGGTGCCAGGTTATTATCCATTTACACTATGCGCAGTGGGAAAATTAATGGTAAATAGAAAATTTATTTTCTCTCACTTTGTGCCAAGAGGGTTTAAAATTAGATAATTGTGATAGATTAGACAGCTGCCACCAAATCTAACCTCTTTAACTGTTCTGTTTGAATCCATTATGATGTATGACATCAGTGCCCGCTAATAGGTTAGGTTTTAAGTGCAAGGCAATAAAACATAACATTCACACATTATTATACAAATTCTTAAACATAATCAAAAAACTTCTATTAGTTTACACTTTAAATAATATCATGGAAAACATTTCATGTGTTTCACTGGATTTGTGTCCATTTGCTTTTACTAGATTAGAACCAGGAGATTATAGCTCATAAAGGATTTTCTCCTGAATTCTGTTCTTAAATATTTTAATCTTCTCATCACTGACAGATTGCAGAATCATAGAAAAACAGAACCCATGGTTACGAGTTTGCTTTTATTTTGCCTACGACTTATGCATTTACTTTTCAAAATTATTTTTACTTTCTATTTCGATTTGTAAATTCATATGTAAAAATGCCAAATTCAGAATACTTTTATGATTATAATTGAATAATTTTTTGAGTGAGAATGGTGGGATGATTACCAATTTCTTCCAGTGATGTCAGAGCTATTCACCTTTCCTTCATGTCTGTTATTGACAATGTTTTAGGGTACAGTTGAGCTCTCTGTTGAGTGTATTAATATGCATGCTGGTTTTTGTCACCTCATATATTTCAGAGTTTTCACGATAACAACCTGCTCTTCCTAAAGATATGGAGAACTCCTTTGTTTAGTATGAGATGGTATTTTAGTATTAGGAATTTAATTTGTTTAGGATCTTTAAGGACTATTGTGCATTTTTTCTTCAATGCAATTTCTCTTAAAGTTTGTGTAACTCAGACTTTCTGGGTGCATTGTCCCCTGTTTTTAATATCTTGTTCTACCTTTGTAAGCATAAATTTAATGATATCCCTTAATTGTCAATAAAGATGCCACTGTCACTTTCATACACAAAAACATTAAATTGTGCTCCACACACTGTATGCTACATAATTATATGAACTATATAATAATACTTTTTCTTTATTTCTTTTTTTTTTTTCTGCTATTGCTACTTTCTATTGCTTTCTGCTTTAAGTTATACAACTTAACCCTAGGCACCAGTCGATACTGGGGATTAGGCAGGAGTGGCTGGAAAGACCTACGCAGAGGAAGGATCTGGTGATCCTGGTGTACGCCAATCTGCCCATGAGCTAGCAACGAGCCCTTGCACCAAAAGCAGCTACCAGCCTCCTGGGCTGCATTAGGCAGAGTGTGTGGAGAGCAGCTCAAAGGAGGGGATCCTTCCCCTCTGCTCAGCCCAGGAGAGACACATCTGGACTGCCAGCTCCAGGAATGCAAGACTTCCCAATATGAAAGGAATGTGGATTTACTGGAGTAAACCCAGTGAAAGGACATTAATGCACTGCACAAAAGGAGGTTTCTACAAAATTAGATTATTGTATAATTAAGAACAGTCACCAGTGTCTCAGTGACACTCTTTGGGACAGTTGTATCTGTGCTCTCCTTAGAGCCTGCACTTTCCTTGTAGGCTAACAATTTCAGGCCAAGATCAACCTGTGTACTGAAACACTTTAAAATGGTTCTTTAGCAGATACCACCATGTAGCTTCAAGAACACACTTCTCAGGACCCCACTTTTAAACTACAGATGCTAATGTTCTCAGTGGGTTTTCCATAGAACCACAGAGCTGAGAAAGTAGTCTGTTATCTTATGAATGAAACCAAATGTGCTTTTCGGATTTTAGAAACTGGTGAGTGCATTTCCTGAAGACTTTTACGCTGTAAGGATGCTCTTAGAAAATCTGGTACATAACTTAAGTGGTGAGTTATTGTACATGTCTTCTGTCAAAATGATGAAAGCCACCAAACAAAAAAAAAAGGTTATGTGATGGGGCATAGAAAGAAGGGAAGAGGGAGAAGAGACATACTTCTCTCCTTGTCTCAAAACTGTAACTTTGTATAGACAATTTGATTTATGTTGGCAGGGAGAGAAAGAATATACAAAAGTAACATTATGTCAACTAGTGATTAATTTCCAACAAAATATTGGCAATGATAACAGGCTGACTTGAGGTCTGGCCAGCATTTTCAAACTTCTGCCTTTAAAAATTCATGAATATATTGAAATGAAGAGAACTAAATGGAAATGCGCTGATTTCTAAGAGTGAACACCTGCCCATTAAACTGACTGTTGCTCTACTAATAGATACCTACGCTTACTAAATATAGCAGCTATTCTTTTTTTTTTTTCCCCCAAGTGCAGTTGTAGGAGATTACATTCTAGATTCATTCCAAATTCACACTTTAATATAAGGACCCTAAGGCAGCTATTTTCACAGTTTAATATTCTTACCTTAAGACAGCTATTTCATTCCTTAGTATGAAAGCTGACCCATTGTAATACAGCACTGTGCCTTAAGCATATCCTCTGTGGGTAAAAATCTATATCTCAGTAATTAAAGCCAGATCAGTTTTACTTAAATGGCATCTAGATAATTTTCTGACATATATTTTTCAGCAAAGTCTGTGATAACCGTTCAGACTGTGTCCTGGTTTCAGCTATAATTTTTCTCCTTCCTAGTAGCTGGTGCAGTGCTGTGTTTTGGCTTTAGTCTGAGAATAACGCTGATAACACATCGATGTTTTAGTTGTTGCTCAGTATCTCTTACCCTTATCAAGGACTTTTCAGTTTCATGCTCTGCCAGTGGAGAAGCACAAGAAGTCGAGAGGGAGCAGAGACAGGACACCTAGCCCAAACTAGCCAAAAGGATATTCCATACCACAGCACATCCTGCCCAGTATAGAAACTTAGGGGAGTTACCCAGAAGGGGCAGATTGCTACTTGGGTTGGACTGGGTATCAGTCGATGGGTGGTGAGAAATTGTATTGTGCATCGCCTGTTTTTATTATTTGGTTTTTTTTTTTTCCCTTCCCCTTTTAGTTCTATTTTCTCTCCACTTGCTATTTCCCTTAGTAGTGGTAGTAGTAGTTTTATATTATACTTTAGTTATTGGACTGTTCTTATCTCAACCCTTAGGGTTTATGTTCTTTCAGTTCTCCTCCCCGTCCTGCCAGGAGTTGGGGACCAAGGGGTGTGAGTGAATGACTGCATGGTTCTGAGTTACTGGCTTGGCTTAAACCATGACAGACTGCTTTTTGCTCTGTTGCATTTAGACTTCTTAAGATAAAAGCTGTTTTCTCGGATCGCCTGAGGGCTCTTTGGAGACCCAAATTTCACGGGTGATCAAGATCATACAGTTTGAAAAGACCATAGATTTGATTCAATTTGATTGAAGTTTTAATATGTTCTTGAACATCTAATGAGGAAAACTAAGCATTTGTTAGATATTGCAAAACCTCCTTGCACACAAATTTTGCAGCCTCCAGTTGTAAATTAGGCATGTTGTTTCTTCCAGTTTCAACACAGGAACAAAAGCAATGCCAAATGAGAGCTTTGTATTATG